GTTGTCCCTGGCTTGCGACTCCTATTCCAAAGCCGAATCGGACGCCAACCTGGCCGCTGCCCTGGTGCCTTATTACACCAGCACGCAAACAGACGGCGCAATCCCTCGTTCCGTACTACACCGGCGCACAAACAGACAGCGCAATTGCAGCTGCACTCGTTCCGTATTACACCAGCGCACAAACTGACAGCGCAATCGCGGTAGCCCTCGTTGCGTACTACACCAGCGCGCAAGTCGACGGCGCAATCACGGCTGCCCTTGTTCCCTACTACACCAGCGCACAAACTGACAGTGCAATTGCCGCTGCTCTCGTTCCCTACAGCACGACGGTTCAAATGGACGCCGCCATTGCCGCTGCACTGGTGCCATACTACACCAGCACACAAACCGACAGCGCTATCGCAACAGCGGTGGGCGGAATCGACTTGAGCCCTTACTACACAGCTGCACAAACCGACGCCGCCATTGCAGCAGCCTTGGTGCCCGTGACCCTCTCGAATGCTCCTGTCTGGGCGGGTAACGCCACCTGGGAGCTGCTCGAGGGCACCAACGTGATCCGCAATCTGCACTTCACGGGTCCCCTCGTAGCCAGTCTGCAGAACAACACAGACACGCTGCAGATCGACTGCCAGTGCTACTCCACCGCCCAGACCTACACCCAGGCGGAAACGAACGCCCAGATNNGATGCGCTGAACCTCAGCCAGTACACCACGCAAACGGAGGTCGACAGCAGCATCAGCGCGGCCTTGGTGCCATACTGGGACCAGGGTGAAGTCTCGGCCGAAATTGCCAGCCAGCTGAGCTCCTCCGGCTTCCAGACGCAAGCGGAAGGCGACGCGAGGTACTTTCCGGTCAACGGCAATGCTGGGGGCGGGGGCATCATCCCCATGGTGCTTGACAACTTCACGCCAAGAATGATCCGCGCGCTGCTGCCCCAGGCGCCCCTGGGGGCGAACCTGATCCTCGGCAACTCCGCCACGGTGCAGCTCACCTGCGACTGCTACTCGAAGGGCGAGAGCGACGGGAGATACTTCTCCAACACCGACTACGCACCTCTCGACTCCCGGTACCATGTGGTCAACGGCAACGCCGGCGGTGGAGGCATCATTCCTATGGTACTCGAGAATTTCACACCAAGAATGATAAGGGCACTGCTGCCCCAGGCGCCCCTGGGGGCGAACCTGATCCTCGGCAACTCCGCCACGGTGCAGCTGACCTGCGACTGCTACTCCAAAGCTGAAAGCGACGCGCGTTACGTTCAGACGGGAGATCCTGTAGCAGACCCGCTACTGGTCAACGACGTAAGGGCCCCGGGCGGAGCCGACCTGTTGACTTTGCGGGGCGGCAGCCTCGGCATCGAATTTGAAGCTGACAGCGGGGCTCCCATGGCAGATCTGTCCACGAGCCTGTTCAGCGTCAAAGATGGCATCAACGTGCTGACCAGGGGCCGAATTTTTGCGGACTCAAGCCTGGGCATCGCCACCGCAGGCTCCTTCCAAGGGGGTACCGTGGAGCCTTTGTTGCCCACGGACCAGTTCCTAAACCTCAAGGCGGGCACCGTTTCGGTGCGGGTCACGGACGCCAGCGACAACAGCCTGTGCACCTTCGCCACTGCTGAAGTGCACACGGTGGCAACCAGGCTGCGCGTGGACGACCAGCTCTACATCGACGACGTCGTCGGCACTGCCACGGGCCTGATCACGAACGCCATCTCCACGCGGGCCCAGGACACGCAATTGTCCATCACCGGCGGGTCCGGTGGCACGGTGGTGAACGGCGACTTGGATATACAGGGAACCATGACCGGAGCCAGCATTGAACTCAACACAGAGCTTCGGGCTCCAACAGTGCGGGCCAGACCCTCGGACACTTTTCTGACGATCCGCGGTGGCGCCGCGGGCATGTACCTGGACGGCGTCGTTTTCACACCGCGTCCACCATCCAAGCGGACCCGGGGTTGGTGTCTTCGCCCGCCTGGCTCACCTTCGTCGGCGGCACCACAGGCATAGAGCAGGTCTGTACCCTTGCGCAGGTGCGGCAGAACGCGGTGGGGGACGTGGAATTCAAGGTCCTCAACGAAGATGCTACCACGGGGGAGGCAGCGCTCCGAGTACAGAACGGTTCGGGGTCCAACGGCAGTCTGAGGGCTCTGGAAAGCGGAAGCGAGGTGCAACTTCAAGCCACGAGCCAGACCATCAGCCTGCAAAATCAAACTGGGGCCTTCCAGGCGCCCGTTGTGGTGCAGACAAACGGACTGCTGGTGGCCAACTACGGCCTGCAGAACAATTCTGACTCCAACATCAAAGCAAACCAGCAGCCCACACCTCTGGCCGATCTGAAAGCTGTTTTCGACGCTGTGGAAGTGAAAAGCTACACTCGCACAGACATGCCACAACCCGAGGACCGCATTGGCTTCATAGCCCAGGAGATCCTTGCCTCTGGCACGTCGGGGCCGAAGTTTGCCAGCATGCAAGAAAACGGGCTTTACGGCCTAGACTACTCTCGGCTGACGTGCGTTCTATGGGGAGTCTGCAAGCTACTCGAGCAACGCATTGCTATTCTTGAAGCTGACGACTGAGCACATTGACCACGGACGCAATCTCCCTGCACAGCGCGGGCGGGATCGAGTACAGCTGCCTCAGGCTCTGCTGGTTCCAAATTCTCACGCCGTCCACCTTCTTGCCAGAACCCTGCTGGGCATACGCCGGATGGGTCCCCGAGGCCGATTGCGGGCAGCAAAACTTCCTGGTGCAGACCGGCCTCGACGGCGTCCATTTCAGATTGTTCCAGATCCTCGTGCGCTTGCGGTACGGATACCCGTACATGCAGTAGGTGACGTCCACCCAGGGCAGGTCGGCCATGAAAGGCCGCTGCTTCAACAAGCCCGTACCTGGATTCTCTATGGCCCAGAACTTGGGCTCTAGCTGTTGGATCAGCTCGAGCGTTCTCAGCACGAGCCTGTCGGCTTCTTCCAGTCGCCTGGGCCTACGCGTGAGCGCTCGACTGTACTCCGTGCACACCGGGGAAGCCCAGATGAAGTCAAAGTGCCCGGGCGGAAACGGCGGGTCCCAGGTGCAAACGTCCTGGCAATAGGTGGGGTTCGCGTCGGGGTTCAGATCCACGGTGGTGACTTCCCAGCCCAGCTCTCGGAAGGCATTACCCACCGAGCCGGTGCCCGAGAAAAGCTCCAGCATTCGGCGGGTCATAATGGTCGTCTATTTCCATGACCGGTTCGAGGGCCAGCCACAGCAGAGCAACCAGACCGGCGCAAAGGCAGGCCAGCTCCAGGTTGCAGAGCAGCAGCTGACGCCAGTCTTGCAATTGCTCCGACATTGATTTTTTTGTCGCGCTTCTTTAAATAAAAGGAGCTGACGCCGACCCCGGTACTCGGTCATCGCACAAAAACATGACTCTCCGACTTGGCGACATTCAGACAAACCTCAAGGGTGGCAAGTACCTGCCCGCCGAGCCTCCCGTCTGCTGGCACACCACACAGTGGGCCGAAATCCTCTACGAGCCCAGCGCGTTCAGCAAGGGCGAACCAAACGAGCGAGTGAGCCTGTGCCTGGAGCTCACCGACGAAATGCGCGGAAGTGTCGAAGCGCTCGAAAAGCAGGTTGTCGGCAAGAAGATCGATGGAAAAACCATGCAATCCTGCATCAAGCCCACCCGCAGCAAGAGCCAGTGCTTGAAATTGAAGATCAACCTGAGCCGGGCGCGCTTCTGGGACGCCGATGGCAACAGGCTCAAGGAACCTCCCACCGAGCTGCGAGGTCGCAAGGCCTTGGTGGCGGTGGAAGTGCGTCAGCTCTGGATCATGGGGTCGCAGTGCGGGCTTCTGATGGAGGCCCATGACCTGAAGTTGCAGGACGCCGCACCTCAAGTGTGCCCTCTCTAAGCAGAGGTACAGACGGAAAGGTTGCTGACAGCCTCCATGGAAACCTTTCCGAACCGTCAAAAGCTGGAAGCTTGAATTCAAGAATTCGTTTTGTTCCCCGAATTCGGCGGATACGAGCTCCGTAATTTTTTTTGCTTCGTCGAACGACGCCTCTTGCACGCACATGAAAAAAGACCTTCCAGAAATGAGCTCGGAGGTGGAGCAGCTCTCTGGTGCCGTTCGGCAAGAACCCTCGGAAGCTAATCTGGTTCATCTGCTCGACCAGTGGTCTGCAGGATGGAAGCACAAAGGTAGGACTTCGGCTCCGGCGCATATGAAAAATACTGCACCCTGGGTCTCTACGCTCACGGGGGCATTGCTGGCATTTCCCGAGCCTCTGACAACGAAGCCGCGTGCTCGGCCGTCAACCATTTTCTGCGCGACAGGTTTCCAGATGGTGCTTGGACCTCCATCACCATTCTTTGCAATCCGAAAATCGGCGTCCATCGAGACATCCTGAATATGAAAGGTCATCCGAACCATGCCATCACTCTCGGTTCATTCGCCGGCAGTCGCATGTGGGTCGAAGACGACGCTGGCAAATCCCCCGCGCAAGTCGTGCTCCGAAAGAAGATCCGCTCCCTCATCGGCACGTGGCACGACATCCACGACAAACCCAGCACTTTCGACGCAAGACGGTTCCATCAGCTCGAACCGCTTGCACCCTGCAAGCTTTCAAACACGTTTCGGATGAACTTGCATCCCGCTTGGACCGTCTTGGATTTCCATCTCCATCAGTTTGCCGGACGCCTGTAGAAAAGAGCCAGCGTGCCAATTGAGCGAACGCAAGCTTAGGCTCCAATTCATCCGCTCCGGCAATGGATCATCATGTCACATGTGCCGTTTCGAGGCTCACAATTGCAATCTTTGTGATAATTTTTTTCGAGCTTTGCTGCGTGAATAACGCGAATTTTGCGCGATACTTGCTTCATTTTTGCAACAATTTTGGCATTTAATACGTTTGCACAATTTGAAGCAACTGGACCTGAATCGGGTACTTTTGTCCCTCCCACGTCTGGCAGAACAAGTTCTGGCTGGAAATGAACGGCTTGAAAGAGCCTTGGTTTGAGCAAAGTAGCATGGAATTTTGGAGCTATTTTGTTCTTGTTTCGGCTCCAAGCCAGAGCTTTCGCAGGGTCTCACGTCTCTCTTTTGGCATTCGTGCGGTGGTCGATGCCGGCTTCGACGCTTGTCTTGTCACCCATTTTCCGAGATACTCAAGACAGGTGGTTGTTGTAATGAAACGCGTCGTGGTGCAAAGATAAGTCTACAAGCGTCCGCACACGGAAATCGCACGAAGAGTAATCTTCTGTTGGCAGCGTCGACGTTGGGGTCTTGCGTAGTGGCACTTGTTGAACACTCCCGTGTTTTGTGCTCATTTTGATGTGCTCCCAGTCGCCAAATCCCAAATCCAGAACTGTGGACTTTGTTGAACGTTTGGGTTAGACATTAGACTAGCGTGTTGTATTTAAATTTTCGCAGCTTTTGCTACATCTAAACCCAAAGCGTCATCCCTGCTCTCAACCCTTAACTTTTTGCATTCTTAGCTCCGACGTGTTGAGTTCGACAAACCAAACCTTACACCCATCCCTGACGCTCATCGAGTGTTCACATCCCTGCTCAAACTCTAAACTTTTGGCCACAAACCCGGAGCTTTCCAATCCTGGTGAGTCCGAAGACCAGAAACCCCAAAATATAACTTAAAATCCTGAATTCTAGACACACCAACCGTCAACTTTCAAGCCTTGAAGGCAAACCTAAACCTTGTCATATCCTCATACATATCCTCATACTCATACGAGATGCCACAAGCTTAAAAGCTGCCCAGTGCGGGCGCCATGGATGCTGGGGAGACTTTCCACGATTTCCAGAGCCGGCAGGAGGGGCTCTGGTTTTCAGTGCTTGGGTTAGGCCTGTGAGCAGGGCCTAGAATTTCAGGGTTTAGTCCGTTCAGGGTTTAGGTGCCAAGGATGTCGGGTTTGAAGGCTTAGGGGTTTAGGCTTCCGGCTTTCAATGTTTTGTTTTGATGTCACCAGGGTTACCATGAGTTTGCTGGGACTTTGATTGGGGCCTCTTTGCCCCAGAGGGGTTCTGTATGAAAACTGAGCATAGGAACAAGGATGCTTTTCGTATGAAGGGGATACTGAGGAGCCTTGTTGAAAGGATTAGGATGTTGGGTTTTGGTGTTGGCATACCCGGTGAGGGCCTTAAACCCTATACTCTAAACCCTAAACAACCTTTATCGAACCTAAATGCGAATTGCGAATTTCGCTCTTAAATTCAATGTGAGCACGATACTGGCCTTGAAAAGCCGTAGAAGGCTTGCTTAAAATTTGCAGTTGCCCTAAACCCTAAACTGTCGAGAGCGCCGCTCACCATTTGCATGGCCAAACTCTCGGCTCCGGCCGGGGCCCGCAGCCGAGTTTGGCCAGAACGGTGAGTGAGGCCCGGCATACGAAGACTGTAAACCCTAAACCCTAAACCCTACACCATAAACCCTAAACCCTAAACCGTTCCCCTTACGTAGCTCCCAGAAGGTCTGGGGCTCCAGGCTGTCAGATTCCACGGACCCGGGCCCCTGCGCCGGTCTTCGACGGCTGTCCTGCGAAAGGAAGCAGAGAGCAAGAAAGCCCGCCTTGAGGGGGGTTTTGGGGGTGAGCCCTGAACCCTAATTGAGAATAGTTGGGGTGGTTGGGGCGGGACTGCATGCTGACGCAAGCACGCGATAAGTGGGTTCGGCGTATTCCAAAAGTAAAAAGCGCACCCCTGCGCACACCCCTGCGCGCACACGGTACGCACGCCCTAAACCTTACGCCCTAAACTGGCCCTAAACCTTTTGCGGGTTTAGGTTTGCTGGTGAAGCCCTCAAGCCGGCTACGCTCTAGCATGAAGTGCCATGTCACATGACAATTCGGGTTTAGGGTTCAGGGTTTAGGGTTGAACAGTTCCGGATCGAGCAGTTTTTAGTCGAGCTGGCAAAAACCCATCAGATGTTAAAGGGACCCTTAAAGGAACCCCGAAGCGAACCCTTCTAGAAACCACCAAAGGAACCCTTGATGGAGCCCTTACAGGAACCCTTAGCACGCAACCTTGCGTGTGAGCCTGTAGGATTCGGGGCAGCCCAAGACCTTCGAGGCACAGCTCTAAGAAAAGAGATTCAAGATTCCCGAAAACCTATACCTAAAACCCTAAACCCTAAACCCCAAATCCCTCAACATCCATCAACCCTAAAAGCCTCAACCCACAAGCCAAAAGTTTGGGGCTTCTGTCAGCTTGGAGGAGGGCGCCCTGGAGCGCCAAGCGTACTCCGGCAGAAAGGGGTGGGGGGCTCTAGGCTTCTGCGTCGCAGGGTTCTGGGTTTTTAGGGTTCTGCGGTTTTCGGGCTAGGGGTGTAGGGTTACGAGGTAGGGGTTCAGGGTTTTTGGGTTTAGGGTTTAGTGGTTCAGGTTTTTGGGGTTGAGGGTTTGGAGTCTAGGATGGCATAAGCATATTGATATGCTACGAAAATCCAGTACATGATATGGACGTGCATGATGCATGGATATTTCGTCTCTTCTTTTGTGCCGTGGTCTGAAAAACCCAAAACCCTAAACCCTTAGCTCCCTATGCTTCTTACAAGCTGTTGAACCGTGGCTCCCAGGCAACCGTCATGTTTTGGGTGTACATGGATAGTTCTCTCAGTTGGGTCCCTTTTCAGGTCCATTATATAGTGCGGCACCCTTTATAAACAGGATCCCGAAAAGGAACCCTAGTTCGACCAACTACCCACATGGTGGTGCCCAGAGAGCTGCAACATGCCCTTTTCAAGCGTTTCAGTCCGGGACGCCTAGCAAGGATACTCACATGGAACCACTCCCGAACCCTATCCCCTAAACCCTAAACCCCAAACCCTAAACCCTCAAGCAAACGATAAATAGAAGGTGTATGTTGAGCGGGTTGCGTGGCAGAGCCATGAGCGCTTGGTTGCACAGAAGACTATTCGGATTGAGTAAATTGGAAAGTAATGTTGTGTGTACATGCAAAGACAAGAAAGCTGAATGCTTGCCAAACTCCGCACCCAAACCCTATACACCTTCTATTTCCTCGCACTCCTCAAATCGTGTGGGGCTTGCAAAATCCCAAATTGGCTTTTTGGGCGCTTGGACGGGGCCTGGCAAAAAGCCAAAAAGCCCATTTTAGGGAGCTGGGGGGCTTGGAAACAGGCCAAAAAAACCAAATTACAAATTTGATGTTTGGATTTGCCACCCTTAGCCCAAGCCCCCCCAAAAGGCAAAAAAAACAATTTGGAGGGGTGGAGGGGC